AAGCTGGAGTCTTTGGATTTCTCAAATAGTAGATTAGTGCATTGACTCTTGTGTCTTGCATACCTAACCTATTCCATTGATCCACCACTCTACTTCTTAGCCAGTACCAGCTAGTTTTGATGATTGCACTTTTCTAAAACAATTTAATATCTGGTAACTAGACCACCTTCCCTTGAATTTCTTTTCATCAGTTCCCTTGGTATTCTATACCTTTAGTTCTTCCAGATGAATTTTGTATTGTTTTTTCTAGCTCTATAAAATATTTCTGGTAGTTTGATTGATATGGCACTAAACAAGTAAATTAATTTAGGTAGCATAGTCATTTTTATTATATTAGCTTGGCCTACCCATGAGCAACTGATATTTTTCAAATAATTTAGATCTGACTTTATTTGTGTGAAAAGTGTTTCGTAATTATGTTCATATACTTTCTGAGTTTGTTTTGGCAGGTAGACTCCCAAATATTTTATAATGTCTATGGTAACTTTAAATGGAATTTCTCTTTCTATCTCTTGCTGTTAGGCTTTGTTAGTAATATATAGAAATGCCAATGATTTGCGTGGGTTTGTTTTATATCCTTCAACTTTGCTAAATTTCTTTAATATTTCAAGTAATGTTTTACTTGATTCTCTAGGATTCTCTAAGTATTTCATCATATCATCTGAAAAGAATGATAGCTTTATTTCTTCTTTGCCTATTCTAATTCCTTCAATTTCTTTTCATTCTCTAATTGCTAAAGCTAACATTTTTAGTATAATATTGTGTAATAGTGCTGATAATGGACATCCTCGTTTCACCCTTATCTTATTGGAAATGTTTCTAGTTTATCCCCAATGCATATAATGATTGCTGATGGTTTTTGATAGATTATACCTATCATTTTAAGGAAGACTCCATTTATTCCTGTGCTCTCTAGTGTTTTTAATAGGAATGGGTGTTGTATTTTGTCAAATGCTTTTTCTGCATCTATTGAGATAGTCATATGGTTTCTGTTAGTTTTGTTGTTGATATTATCAATTATGCTGAAAGTTTTCCTAATATTGAACCTGCCCTGCATTCTTGGTATAAATCCAACTGGTCACTGTGTATCATCCTTAAGATAAGTTGCTGTAATCTCTTTGCTAATATTTTATTTTAAATTTTTTCATCTATATTCATTAGGGGAATTGGTCTATAATTTTCTTTCTCTGTTTTGGGTCTTCCCAGTTTAGGTACCAGTGCTATACTTATATCATAAAAAGAAATTGGTAGGACTCCTTCTTCACCCATTTTCCCAAGTAGTTTATGTAATATTGGAATTAGTTGTTCTTTAAATGTTTAATAGAATTCACCTATAAATTCATCTGGCCCTGGTGATTTTTTCTTGGGAAGTTCATTAATGATTTGTTCAATTCCTTTTTCTGAAATTGGGCTGTTTAAGTAATTTATTTCCCCTTCTGTTAATTTGGGCAATTTATAGTTTTGTAAATATTCATATATTTCACCAAGACTGTTAAATTTATTGGCATATGGTTGGGCAAAATAGCTCCTAATTACTGTTTTGATTTACCCTTCATTGGTGGTGAACTCACCCTTTTCATTTTTGATGGTGATAATTTTGTTTTCTTCTTTCTTTTTTTAAATCAAATTAACCAAAGGTTTATCTATTTTATTGCTTTTTTTTCATAAAAACAGCTCTTAGTTTTACTTACTAGTTCGATAGTTTTCTTAATTTCAATTTTATTAATCTCTCCTTTCATTTTCAGAATTTTTAAATTAGTATTTAATTGGGAATTTTTAATTTGTTCTTTTTATAAGTTTTTTAGTTGCATGCCTAATTTATTGATCTCTTTTCTCTGTTTTATTCAGGTAAGCATTTAGAGATATAAAACTTCCCCTAAGCCCTACATCCAATAAGTTTTGATGTGTTGTTTTATTATTGTCATCCTCTTGGATGAAGTTATTGACTGTTTATATGATTTGTTGTTTGACTCACTTATTCTTTAGGATTAGATTAATTTTTATTCTATCTTTTTTTTTAGACAGTTGGGATTGCCCAGGGTCACACAGCTAGTAAGTGTCAAATATTTGGTCTGAGGCCAGATTTGAACTCAGGTCCTCCTGACTTTAGGGCCAGTTCTCTATCCACTGCACCACCTAGCTGCCCCTAGTCTATCCTTCCATGGCCCTTTATTACATGTAATTTTTATTGCATCATGATCTGAAAAGGATCCATTTAATATTTTTGCCTTTCTGCATTGGATTCTGAGATTTTTATGCCCTAGTATATGGTCAAATTTTGTGTAGGTGCCAGGTATTGCCCAGAATAAAGGTGTATTCCTTTCTGTCCCCATTCAGTTTACTCCAGAGGTCAACCATATTTAACTTTTCTAAAATTCTACTGATCTCCTTAATTTCTTTATTTATTTTGTGGTTAGATTTATCTAGTTTTAAAAGGGAGAGGTTGAGGTCCCCCACTAGTATAGTTTTGCTTCTGTTTCTTCCTGTATGTCCCTTAACTTCTCATTTAAGAATTTGGATGTTATACCACTTGCTGCATACATGTTTAGCAATGATATTACTTCATTGTTTATGGTACCTTTTAGTAGGATGTAGTTTCCTTCAATGTCTCTTTTAATTAGATCTATTTTTGCTTTTGCTTTGTCTGAGATCAGGATTGCTATCCCTGCTTTTTTTTTTTAAACTTCAGCTGAGGCATAATATAATCTGCTCCAGCCTTTTACCTTTACTCTGTGTGTATTCCTCTGCTTCAAATGTGTTTCTTATAAAAATATGTTGTAGGATCATGGTTCTTAATCCACTCTGCTATCTGCTTCTATTTTATGGGAGAGTTCATCCCATTCACATTCACAGTTATGATTACTATGTGTGTCTTTCTCTCCATCCCCTTCCCTTTTCTTCCCCTTTGCCCTTACTGCTTCTTCCCTCCCTTCTATCCCACCTCCCTTTTCTTTCCCCTTTCCCCTCCTACTTCCTATAGGGTAAGTTATATTTCTATACCTAACTGATTATGTTATTCCCTCTTTGAACCAAATCTGATGACCATAAGTTTCAAACAATGCTCATCTCCCTTCCTTCTTTCCTTCAAGGTCCTTTTGCATCTTCTTAAATACTAGAATAAGCAATTTAAATTTTGTTCCACAGCCAATCCACTGAAGGTTTTCAAGCAGGAATCATATCACCACAGCTTTATATTGAGATGATTATTTGGGCAAGGGGTGAAATATGCTTTGGATAGATGAGTGATAGACTGAGGAAGACCAGTGTGAGAACTACTGAGATACTCTACATAAACAGAAGGAAACAAAACAAAAATGTTGTTTACATATATATTAGAAGGTAAAAATATGGCACCAACAGTCTTTTTGAATGGCCTGGATATTGGGGCTTTGTGTCTCTGAACTGACAGACCTCTGGATAGCAACCATCTTGACAACATCCTATTATAATGATTTAGAAGAGAAGCAATGAGGACATAAATTTGGGTAGTTTTACCAGGAGTAAAAATCACTGAATGGATTGTGTAGAGCAAGTATTGAGGAGACTTGAAAATTGATTGAATATGAGGATAAGGAATAAGGGAGAATCAAATATTAAACTAAGGTTATTGGTCTGGGTTTCACTATAGAAAAATTAGGGGAAGAAGGACTGGGGATCAAGATGAGAAATTCAGTTTTGCATTTATTGAATTTCAGCTACTAGCTCCTACGTGGAGATATTCAGCCAAAAATTGAAAACATAAGGATAGAACTTCAGTGGGAAGTAAAAGTGTGGAGTAAAAGATTGGAGAATTATTTCTAGAGAGGCTGTAATTAAAGTAATGGAAGTAGATGAGCTATTTGAAGATTTCCATCATGAAAGACACTAGCAAATTAAGAAATCATCCTCCTTATAGTTTAATTCTGAAAGCCGTCTCCTCATATATTAATTGCAATTGACAAATGGAACTCTTTAAATTTTACTGAATGCTGAATTTCATTCTACAAAGCCAAGTTCAACCAACATTTCTCATACTCAACTCTAACCAAGTAATATGTGTTTGCTTAAATAACTAGCTTTCAGAATGAAAGCATAAACACACATTAGTCAAGATTTGGTCTTTAGTCGTGTTTTACATGTGCATGCATATGACAGCAAGAAAGTAAAAAAAAATACAAATTAAGTGTAATCAACCTGAAACAATTTAAACTAAAATGCCTTGTTGTCAATGTTCAAAAATGTTCAAAATCAAGGTTGAACCACTTTCTAATTCTTCCTTTCTTACCACAATGCTTAGTAGAAGGAAGCTCCTACTGATGTACAGCCAACCCAGGTAAGGATACTGAGTTCTGCTTGTAAAATGTCAAGCATAATTTAATTGTCTTCAAAATATTCATGCATCACACTCTATGAATAATTCAATGGTGTGTGGGAAAAGAGAGGCTATCTTTGGAACATTTGGCCTACGTAATCTTTCATGAGTAATTAATTTTCTTAGTAATCTGGTGCAGTAACATTGCAGGTTAGTCATTTGCACATGTTTCAGTCTTACACTGCAATGAGAAATTTGGTATCTAAAAGATGCACCTCTATCATCATTTCTGTGCTAGTGAATGATTAAAGAATTTAAAGTGTCATGAAATTACCCAGGGTGGCTGGAAGCAACAGCGTCTCATTTTCTACTGAAAAAAAATTATTTTATCAGCCAAAACATGTGATTTTTCTCTTCTTTGAAGTTGAACCAAATTTTAAAAAATCCTTTTCATTATGTTAGATAGGAAATTCTTTCATTTAAATAGCAGAATAAACAACAACAAAAACCATAGGAACAAAGAGATTTAGCATGGATTTTTAAAAACAAAAAAACCCCAAATATTCTGTCATCGTATTTTTTTTCTCAAAGGCATTTTTCATCAGAGACATTTTTCTGATTTGATTCCACAGCAGAAGGTTAAATTCTCACACACAGATCATTAGCGAAGAATAAACAGAGCAAGTACTAAAGCTGGCTTTGCACCTACTGAATGCTGCAAGTGTCTGTATTCATTTGATATGCATCTTGCAAAGCTTGGCTGTTCCCAGAAGGCCACTCCATGAAGACCGAGAGAGCAGCGTCTGCTAGTGGTGCCTGCAAGTCACAAAGAACAGAGAAAAATCTTTTTAACAGAGATGCTGGAAAGCATCAAAATAAACGCAATGCAGACAAGAAGTAGTTTCTTTTTTCTTTTTTAAATCTTGCATATCAACTTATAGTACTATTTTGCTTTTCCCTAATGCACACTTCTTACATTGAAAGCACTCTAATGGTTTTAGCAAAATTTTCTGGGTCATCTCATTAGCTCATAGGTTTAGTTTAAAATAAATCAATTCATGAAGTCCATTAAGTATGCCATTTGCCACTTCTGGTTAGCTATTAGAAAATCTTATTCACAGGTAAGGAAGAAAGGAGAAAGAAAGGAGGATGGTATAAACAGGAAGAAGAGCTTTCTTATTCTTATCATTAATGGTGATTTGAATTGATTTTTTTCCTACTGTACCTGTGGCATTCAGAGGACATCGGTTGAATGCCATATCTCCTGCTGGAGTCCTTTTCCACACCATCGACATTAGATTGTCCTCTGGGCATATTTCATAAGGTGCTGTGATTTAAAACAGAGGAAGCTAAATACTGAGACAAAATACTTATTTTCTTAAGTGACAATAATTAATCCTTACATACAACCTCTGTAACCGTAGAAATCATTCATATTCTTTCTTTTTTCTTAATTCTACTATTTATGAGAGATATCTTTGTTTAAAAATAATTCTGCTGTCTGGATTTCATTTCATAACACATTGCCGATACACACCAATGTCTTTGCAGCCACTAATGAACATTTTACTACTTTAGATATAAATGATTTTTCTCTGGCTGTGAAAAATGGACTTGTAGGCACATAACCAAACAAAAATGATTACAATGTTTTAATGGTTTTGATAGATTACTCAATATAAGGACTCCTGATTAATTGATAACAATTTTTAGATCATGCACAGAAATAGCAACCATAAAAAGTCCTTAAGAGACACAGTGCATTTTATATTCTTGTTTTGTTTAAATTAATCATAAAGAGATGATATTTTATTATGTAAAATATGGTATGCTGTTTTATAATGTGTAAGATTATTTGATCTATCATTATTAATGAATTTGAGGCAAAGTTATTTCACATTTCCACAATAACATTTTCATAGTGTTAATTTTGTTAATGGGAAGCAACAAATTAAAAAAAAACTATGACAGAAATAATTTAATCCATGTAGACTTTCTCTGCCATCTTTTCATATGATATGTATTTAAATTTTTTAACTCTCTGAAATTACTAGATTGTAACTCAATTAACATTTGGAGACCATAAAAACTTGAATAAATATTTATTTGAAATAAGCACAGAATAGCAAAAATAATTTTGATTTTACACGCACAAAGGGTATAATGTTGCTTCCTTTCTCAATGGCTGGCATAGGGGCTTGAGGGAGGAAGAGAATTTGCAATTGAAAATTTTTAAAAATGAATGCTAAAATATTTTTGAGAGAGAGAAAGAAAGAGATGAGATAGCTATCATTTGTACTTGGACAAGGCTTCTGCTTCTACAATTGGGAATAGCTGGTGTCTTGGATATAGTTTGGAAAAAGGAGTCCAGCCATGTTTCAGTCACTCAAAGAGATACTCAATTGAAGAATAATAGCTAATGCTTACATAACACTTTAGATTTTGCAAAATACTTATCATAGTGAATGAGTTCATATGTTATTGGAAGAATTGAAACATATCAGTTTTGATATTCTTACTGTCAATGAAACCAGATGTGGAGTTAACTCTCCATTTTCCAGCTGTAGCTCTGCAGTAATTACCAGCACACGTGCTTACTTTTTCATTTCTATAAAATCTTTATAAAAGTGTTCCAGACAAAAGCATCCAGCCCTGGTACTGGAGTCAGGAAGACCTAAATTCAAATCTAGCCTCAGACACTTACTAGCTGTGAGGCTCTGTACATGTCACATAACCTCTGTTTGCCTCATTTTCTTCATGTATAGAATTAAGATAATATCACCTTCCTCACAGCATTTTTGAGCAAATGAAAAGAGATGATATTTATGAAGTGCTTAGTACAGTGCTTGGTATAGGGGTGGGGCACCTGTAGCCTTGAGTCCACATGTGGCCTTCTAGATCCTTGGGTGCAGCCTTTTCACTGAGTCCAAGTTTTACAGAACAAATACTTTTATTAAGGGAATTTTTTCTGTGAAGTTTGGATTCAAAGGGCCACAGCTGAGGACCTAGAGGGCCATATGTGGCCCCACCCCTTGTTATATAGTAGGTATTATATGAATTTTAGCTATTATTATACATAAATGACAGGATATCATTGATGAAAAGATGAGAAAGTATACTAAGCAATAGACCACATCTTCTCAGTCCCATAAGAAACAGAAAAGTGAAGAAAATGCAAGATTCTATTGTTGATTTAAAAAGAATAAAATATGCCCTTAAAATACTCTGTGATAATTTAGTACAAAATAAATCTCCAATGTGTAGATTAAATAATATTTCTTATCAGACATAAACATTGTGTTCAATGAGCCTCTGATTACCAATATCTGCATGTCACAGCACCAAAAAAAAAAAATCTCAGAAATAGAATGGACTTAAAAGGTCAACTAGTCATAGAATCACAGACTTAGGTCTAGAGGATACCCGAAGTCCTCTATTTCAACCTCTTCATTCTCTAGATGAGGAAACAGATGTCAAAGAGGGTAAGTTACTATCCAAGGAAACAAAGGCACCCAATAGCTGAGCCAGAAATTGAACTTAGTTCTATTAATTCTAAATATGGGACTCTTACTATTGGACCATGTTGCCTTCAACAAAAATCTAAACAACATATCTGACAAATGAAAACTAAAACTTTGCTTATAGATATTCAGTAAAGGGTAAACCACAACCTCTGGAAGCAGCCTACTCCATTTTTATATAATTCTAATTCTTAGGAAGTTTTATGTTTTTTTTTTAACCTCAAAACTAAATTAGTCCCTTGTTATCGTTTATCTTTTTATTTTTAACTTTCTGCCCTATAGGTCCCATGAAAATAATTCTAATCTCTATTCTACATGACAATGTAAAATACTCAAAAACAACTATAATTTTTAAATGGTAGCCTAGACTAATGTCATTTTAAATGATCTGTTGTTAATATAATAAGCCATCCAAGACAGAAAAATAACGAAGATTAAGCAATGGAGAAAAGGTGACTGTCTTGTGTTGTGATTTTAGTCCAAGCATTATGGCATCCAATGATGTCAAATTACATGTGGTAGGATACTATTAGCCTGTAAATAACAAGCTGCCCTTCAATCTAGGCTTAAAAGTCAGGGCCAGGGGGCTGAAGCTTTGAGAGTTCTCTCAAAGTTTCAGCACTTGAGCAGTCTGGGACACCAATTCACATTAATAATTATCCCCATGGCAACGGATATAAACAATGAGCAAAAGTCAGCAAATATGGGCACCCAGACTGATGCCTGATGAACTGTCTGTGATTCTTCCTAACTGATGACCATAAAATTTGGTTGATTTAATTAGGAAGAGTAGACAGGAAGGTCTAATTGTTTTTTTCTTACTCAGAAATGGACATTGATCGGATATTTGTTAATCCAACAGATGGTCTCTCTCTTGTGGGGTATCCTAGAGTTATGATTTATTATTCCACTTTTCAGTGTGCATGTGAGGTGACTTGGCAAAAACTTGTGGACAATTTAAAATGAATTCCATCAATACTATATCTGCCTACTAACTGCTCTTATCACTGAATTCTTTGCCTGTGTCTGTGTTTATAACTGACTTCCCTATTTTCACACATGAATGGTCAGAATTATTTTGAAGAAAGACCAGAGCAATAAGGCATAGTAAAAAGATAATAGGAACTGGTGTTAGAAGATGCCTGGGTTACCAACTCCTGCAAGTACTCTTTGTGAGACCACGGTGGCTGTTCAGTCATGTCTAACTCTTCTTGACCCTATTTGGGGTTTTCTCATCAAAGATACTTAGTGGTTTGCCATTTCCTTCTCAGCTTGTTTTACAGATGAGGAAACAGGCAAACAGAGTGAAATGAGTTGTCCAGGTTCACATAGTAAGTATCTGAGTTTAGATTTGAACTTAGGAAGATGAGTTCTCCTGACTTCAAGCCTAGGGGTAGACACATAAATAAATAAATAAGGCACTACGCTGTTCCCAAGGGGTTTATAATTTCTCTGTCTCTCTGTCTCTCTCTGTCTCTCTCTGTCTCTCTCTGTCTCTCTCTCTCTCTCTCTCTCTCTCTCTCCCTCCCTCCTTCCCTCCCTCATATAAAATAAGGCACTACCCTGTACCTCAGAGTTTATTTCTATTAAAAAATTAATAAGTAACTGAACCAACTACAGAAATTTGAAAAAAGCAAGTAGAAATAAAAAAAAATAAGACATTCCAAACTTTTTGTTAAAAATTACTAGAACCAGGGCAGTTAGGTGGCACAGTGGATGGAGCACTGGCCCTGGAGTCAGGAGGACCTGAGTTCAAATCCAGCCTCAGACATTTGACACTTATGAGCTGTTTGACCCTTGGCAAGTTACTTAACCCCATTGCCTAGTAAAAAAGACAAAAAAAAATTCCTAGAACTCTCAACAGTGAAGTTGGGCTGGGAAATGGGGCAGAAATTTCTTTCTTATCAACTTCTTTGTTTATTGTATCATCTTAAGTACTTTACATTTATTCATTTCACTTCAAGATACATTAAGTAAAAAAAATTTTTAAAAAAGGATGTTAAGTGCTCACTATATGTAAGCACTATGCTAGACTCTGGACATATAAAGACAAAATGTTCACAGTTAAAGACTACAGAAAATGTACATTGGGGAATACAACATGTACATAAATGTGCATATAAGATAATTTGAAGGGACTGAAAGCATTTAAGATTGGGAAGGATGGACAAGGAAGACATCTCAGAGGCACTCACACATGATCTGAATCTTGAAAGAAGAAAAGAAGACTAAGAGGCAGAGATCAAGAGTAGGACATGTATTTCAGGTATAGGGTGTTGCTTGTCAAAATATTTGGAGGAAAGAGATGTGGGACTTACAAGATACTGTATTTTAAGGGCCTAGAACAGAGTCTGAACACATAGTAGGAGCTTAACACATACTTGTATATGCACACACATATAGGCATCACCTATATAAAGATAGTAATTTAGCCCATGGGAGTAGATTATAGGACCATAAATCTATAGATAGAAGTGAACTTAAAGGTTACCCAGTCCACTTCCTCATTTTAGAGATGAGAAACTTGATAGAGAGTTTGAAAGATTGGGGGGAGCTAAGTGGCACAGCAGTTAGAGCACCATCCCTGGAGTCAGGAAGATGTGAGTTCAAATGTAGCCTCAGACACTTACTAGCTGTGTGACCCTTGGGCACTTAACTCTGATTGCCTCAAAAAAATTTGCTTAAGATCACAGAGGCAAGTGACAGTTGGGATTTGAACCAGGAATTGTTCTACTTCCAAATCCAACCTTCTTTCTTACACCATGCTGAGATCGCCAAGATAGAAAGGAAAGAGATGAGAAAAGAGTCAAGAACAGAGGTTATATTAGATCTTTTGCAGTATACCATTAAAAAAATACAATCATCACACCATTCATTTGTTTCTTTGAGGTGCTAACTGTGACTTTTTCCTCCAATTTCCAAATCAAGCTATGGAAAAACAACCACAAATCACTTTCAGGCATGTAAATAATGTCACAATTAGACTGAATTATATATTTCTGTAAATAATATATAACAAGAGATATAATTCCCACAAATCTGCAAGTATGTATCCTAAATGTGCTCATTTCTATCAACAGGAATCAGAGTTGGAGATCAAAAAGCAGAATGTAGCACTTTATGGCAAATGTGCATGTGAGGAATAGAAAAAAAAAAGATGCTTTATAACCAGTTGGATTAATTATCAAGCCAAAGCTATGTGCATATTGTGTTTCTTTATTATTAAAAATGGAACACTTCTTAGCACACTTGATGGATTTATTTTGTATCCAAAACAAGTGAGGCATAAATACAAATACAATAATGAAACTTGTAGTAGTTTTTAATAGGGAAAAATTACTAAGGAACATAACATAGTACTAAAAATAAAACAAGCAAAACATGTTCCTTTAAAAATATTAAATTTTGTTAGTGGTTTAAAAAAACAGAAAATGCCTTATAAATTCATTTGTGGAGCTTAGTAATTTTTCTCCATTTAAATCCTTTGAATCTAATTTTGGAATAAAATGTTATCTTTTAAAACCATATACTCAGCACTACAAAAAAAAAATTATTGACCATGTAAAGGTAAATGGGCAACCATTATAGTCAAGTGTGCAAATCATGCATGTTTTGGAAATAATTTGTTCTTTGCAAAGTCTATATTGTTAAGAAGAAACTTTATTGCCATTATCACTGAAAATTAAGAACAGGATATGCATTCCACTCCTATATCCCATGCTTTCTACTCCAATTCCATTGCCACACAAACAAGGAACTAAAACAGGAAAATTGTCCTTAATTTAGCATCAATACCTCTTCTCTTCCTCAGATGCACATTTATTATGAACTATCACATATTTCTTTTGATCCCTGTCTCAGATTCCTGCCTATAGAAATGAGCACATTTGGGATACTTTCAAAAGAAATTACCCAGGGCATCATACTTCCAGATTCATGGTAACTGGATCTCTTTTACATATTACTTATAGAAATATATAATGCAGTTTAATTGTGAAAACAAGTTATTTGCATGCTTGAAAGTGATTTGTGGTTGTTTTTCTATAACTGGATTTAGAAATCAGAAAGAAAGAAAATGTCAAGGTTAGCACCTCAAAGATACAAATGAATGGAATTGTAAATTGTATTTCTCAAGGCTTCTTATTGGTACTGTTTGCCTTAAATGATGTAAGCTTTTAAACAAATCTAAGGAGCAATGATGCCTTGAGAACATTTTCCCTGTAAATAAATTTGTAAAATATTTTACTAACAGCAGGTGGCAATCTTGGAAAATCTGTTTTCAGCAGCACCATTTTACTGCTGTGGCTATGAATGCAGTTTCAAAAGACAATCTAAAGAAACCTCTGAATATTGAGGGATTGGCTCAGATAGCTTCAAATATCAAAAGATTCACATTTAATCATATCTATAGTTCTAATGAAAATTCTTATAAGACAAAATAAATGTCTAGATGTGCTTTTTTTCATTCAGACAGGGAACAAAGTAACATTCTGTATTGTGCCTCATTCTGTATGTGTCCTCAGCAAAGCATTGCAAGCATAGTATTTTTCATAACTAAGATTTGATATCGCCTAGGAAAAAGGTTAATTTCAATTCTTACTAGGAGTTTGTTCCTATTTTGAACAAACACGCTGTTTCTTTTCTAATATCTTCACAAAAAAACATTTTTGACTTTTTAAACCAGTCAGTTATACAGTCTAAAAGTATGTGCCAGGCACTATGCTAAGTGCTGGGGATACCAACACAAAAATCTAACACCTTTAGCCCCCAAGGAGCTAACAGTTCATCTTTAATCCCTTTTAAAATACTCTGTATATGGAAGCAAGTTGCTATACTTTAGGAAACCTACAAAAGTAGAGAAGTATTAAGTACTGACTCCTTCATGTAAGTTCTATTAGAGTCTCTAGTAGAATGTGAGGTTCTTTGAGAATAAAAGTTATCAAGTGAGAGAAATTTTTATTTCTCTCATATTAATAACCAATTATTGAATTAGGACTGAGGATATTCTCCTTTTTTATTTCCCCATTCAGAAAAACCCTATAGGTTATTCATACAACCTTTGAAGTGCAGGTCTGATAATGAAATGAAATCTTGGGTGAAATCAGGAAAACTTAGATCTGATCAAAAGGTAAAGAAATTCTAAAACCCATTGTGTTTTAGTCAGACAGGTCTGGGTAGAAGCGGATTCTCCTTTTGTCTATATTACCCAGGATGGGTGGTATGGGTCTAGATAAGATTCTTTGACCAAGCCTGAGAGATTAGAGTCACATCCCCCAGACCCTCATTAGAATAAACTCACTTCTCATTATAATATTCATTCTCTTATTACTTGTTAACCAATCATAGTTTATTTCCAGTCTCAGGAACACCAACTCTTCCAAGGGCATGTGAGCACTGAGTGGATTCTATGTGGGGTCTTTGGTTTAGAAGAGACAGCCAAATGACCATGCTTTTATTAAGTACTCTCTAGCATAATTAATATGATGATTAATTACTAAGAAGCTAAGTCCCAAACTTTTCATACATCACACAGGATTGATACCAATTTATATAATTTGAGACCTGGAGGTTTCTAAATTAGTGAATACATTGGCTTACAACCAGAGGTCAGTGCCCTCAGAATTATGAGGCAGAGTATAAGCGCTGAAAGCAATCTTAAGGACAGCATCTAGTCCAACTCTTGCATTTTATAGAGATAGGTAGTGAGGTACATGGGGCAAGTTGAAATTAATCACCAGAGATAGCAGGTTAGTGGCAGGGTGTAGACTAGAAACCAGCTTTCTTAAATCTCAGTGCTTTCTTCCATTTTATCACACTCAGAAACTTATTTCACATCATAAACTTCAGAATGATCATAGAATTTTTGGCTGCCATAACTATATCAAAGAATTAAATTATTTACTTCTTATCCTACTTGCTTACTTCTTTCTTCTCACTTACATAGATGTGTTCCCACTCTATCACTAATCCTTTCATGGACAATTAAAGGAATTTCATTAGTGGTAAGAAATGGTCTCTTCTCTAAAAAATCTTCAGCCTCTTCTCTAGAATGAAAATCTGTGTAGGACTTTGTGATTATTCTATTCTTAACTTATAATTGAATTAAGTACTTATGGTTGTTAAGACAAATTTATGATATCATAATGATGACATTCTTCTCAGGTCTTTTGGTTTCTTCTCAAATTTTCTCATTTGATCCTGAAAACAACCTTGTGTATATTATTCTTGTCTTTATATTTAAAATTAGTCAGTTGAGGTTGAAATGTACAAAAGAAACAGATTCATAGCTATGTAGCAATTTTCTCATGGTCATGACATTACAGGATTTGTAAGTGGGATTCAAATTCAACTCTTGGGGATGCCAAATACAGAATATTTTCTATTACACAGTGCTCTCTTCTACCACTTATAATAGCTACCATTTATATAGTGCTTTATAGTTTATAAAGCAGTTAGGTGGCACAGTGGATAGAGAGCTAGGTCTGGATTCAAAAGTCTGAATCCAAATTTGGTCTCAGTCACTTATGAGCTATATGACCACAGGCAAGTCTGTATTCTTTAGTTTCCTCAACTGTACAATGGGAATAATACTACCTGTCTCCTAGGACTGACATGATGATTAAAATTAGATATTTGTAAAACACTTAGCATAGTGCCTAAATCATAGTAGGCAGTTAATAAATGCTTATTTCCTTCCTTCCCTTTCTATATTTTCTCATTTGTTCTTACATTGGGAGTTAAAAGTATAAGTTTTATCTCTAATGTACAAATGAGCAAACTGAGACTCAAAGAAGTTATGTATTTTATGACTTGGCCATCACACAGATAATAATAACTATTTCAATTGGGATTTGAAGCTAGGTATTCTGATTAAAAGTATAGTCCTCTATTAATTCATGCCTTTTCCTTTTTATCATACTCATTTAACCAGCTGAGACTAAACTACTTTTTGAAAAACAATTAAGCAAAAACATCTGATACAAAGATTATAATTGACAATGTATATATATTCTGCCCTATAAAAGTATCCTGCCTCTCTTTTAGAAAGAAGTATATTTCATTATCTCTTTGACTCTTAAATTTCACTGTGTAAAGCTGAAATTTGTTTGGACTTCAGTAAAAAATAAAATAGATTAAAATAACTTCACTTTACTGATATAATTTCAAGTAGCAATAGTAATAATGGCTAGCATTTATAAAACACTTTAAGGTTTGTAAAGCACTTTGTAAATATTAGTTATCCTCACAGCAACACTATGAGGTAGGTGCTATTATTATCCCCATTTTACAAATGAAGAAACTGAGTCTGACCAACGTTAAGTGTCTTGCTCAAGATTACATAGCTATTAAGTGTCTCAGGCTGGGTTTAAAATCAAGTCATTATGAATAGTGCACATAGAGCACTATACCCTATACCACATTTTATCAAATTGGACAAGGCTAAATATAATACAGAGATATCTTATGACATACCAACAAATAAGGAATAGTAAATGAAAACCTTGTAGTAATTTTAAAAAGTGAGTTGTCTATTCAGTTTAAGAATCACTTTCTATTATTAATCAATACAAATAAATGTACATCAAAGAAATTTATAAAGATAGATTAAAAAGACTGATTTGCTTTTATGATTTTATTATTCTGATTTTTACCACTTCCAGTCCATTCCATTGTGTACCCTTACCCCTCCAATTTCTATATGAACATAGTAACCATAGAAAATTCTCACCAGGGCATCTTTGCTCACTGCATCTTCTGACCTCTTCACCTGTTCCTTCACATTGTTGTCCTGTTACTGCTGCACCTTGGCAAATCCTTATTCTCCTTTCCCATCCACCATCACATGACTTGGAACATCCACTCCAGTGACCCCATTGATTCCACTGGCCATTTGCTGGAGCAGGTAACAGAAGAAACATTAGCAAATTCATTGGACACTATATAAGGAAGTTCAATAATAGAATGGAATACTTTCATGTTGTTTTAAGCAATATAAATAGTTCTACTCTTCCATGAAAGTCTTCCTCTGAGGCCTCATCATGGTGAGGACACAATGTTGGTTGGGTTCTTGAAGGCAGTGTCAAGATAAACACAATCTCTAATAGTTCTTAGGAAGCCAAAAGAGTTGGAAGTCCAGGTACAGTGACAGGCTGTAAGGCTGTCAGGGAACAATCAGCCTAGGTAGGTTTGGAAAGAGGTATTACCAGACTTGCTAAACAGGCAGTAGATATTTTTTCCTCCATAGCAACTCATGAAGTTTGTCCGCTTGAGGTACACATGGTTTGTAGTCTGTGTCAGTTAAGGGAATATTTACATTGATTAAATCATGAATCACTGAACAATTGAAATATGTATTCATGTCAATAGACTTTAAAACAAAATGCTCCTTTGGGTCATACCTATAACATTTATATTGATTTATGCTTAGCCACCTTTCTCAAAATGGTTAAAGGTATATCTAATGTTATTCCTAATAGGAAATTAGTCAAAAGAAATACTGAAAAGTAGAACCCTAATCATTTCTGTTATTCTTTAATTACTTTATGCTCAGTTTTCCTATAACATGACTTACAAAAGCCTGAATTTTGTTATAACAAAACATGAGGGAGTTTAGTCCCAATCATTACTAGTGCCTTTTCTTTGGGATTACCACCTATTTACACTACATATTATTTGTATGTACATGTTTGTCTATATATTGTTTCTCACATTAGAATTTAAACTCTTTTAGGGATGAGACATGTTTTTTGCTTTCTTTACATCCCCAGAACTTATCACAGTTACTGACACATAGTACTTAAGAAATGCTTATTGATTGATTAAGTGACAAGGATATTTTTGTAACATGTTCTCACAAAATTCATAATCTCATGATATAGATGCTAGGACTGTGGCATAGGGAAGATTTGAGGCCACCTGTACATGGTAGCAGGATCTGTGTCTGGTGATCTTGTCTTACCTGTACAGTCTGGGTTATAACATTCTCTGCTTTCTGCCCAGGGACCTCTGCATTCAGAGCCACCATGGGCAGCTGCAGTACACTGCCGGCTTCTTTGCTGTGTGCCATTGGAGCATGTCACTGAACAATGACTCCAGGAACTCCACTCCTGCCACTGTCCATCAACTATCGAAAGCAGAAAGAGAGATATATAGAGAAAGAAGGAAAACTTTGATGCAAAGTACATGATGCAAGTAGTCTCTTTGAAGACAGAACTAAATAAAAGCACTTCACATTAATAATGCTTTACTTTTAAACAAATTTAAAGTTATTCAAAGTTTTTTTTCACGTATTTAATTTCATTTAAGCCTTATAACAAATTTTTGAAGTTGGAATGTATTAGTATTCTCATTTTATAGATAAGGACACTGATTCTAAGAGAGATTAAATGGCTTGTCAAACATCACAACACCAGAAAGTGGTAGGTCTCGAATTTGAACCTAGGTTTTCTGGTCCTTAGGTACTACCTACTAAGAATCAGTGGTAATTAGGTACTATCCACTATGTATTTTAGAGATATACATATGAAGGGGGTTTTTTAGGTCTATAGATTAAAAAAGAATTACAAATAAAATGACCATGACTATAATTTCTAGTGCACTTCTATACTTTCCCTAGCATATTCATTCCATGTTTACTGTCTTATCAATGAGCAAACAAGATTCACCTATAATTCAATTACCTATAAAAAAGTACTATGAAACCTAGCAAAAACAATGAAATTCAAAAGAGATGAAGAATTTATATGATTTCTTTCAGGACTTGAATAAAAGGGCCTGCATATCAAAAAACAAACTTGCCTAATATAGACCTACCTGCACTTTAAAAATACTTTATGAAATAAAAGACATCATGAAATGATAATTTAATAATATCATGTTAATGAGATTTACACAAATAATTTTATCAAAAATGTCTGATACAATCTTTAGCTGTACAGTCTATTTGGCAGAACACAATGCTTCTTTTAGGTTACCATTTGGAAAGAAACAACTTAGAGTTTCGGTTTCTTTATTACAATAAGTTTAATCATAAATGAACTTTTAAAAAAGTTTTGCTAAGTCAACATTTATCTATTACATACTGTACTATGTACTAAGCGTGCTATTAATAAATTTTTTTAAATGAACTCTGGCATACTGGTGGATATTATTTAGTTGGATGAATGAAATATAAATATAAATGTTGCTAGAATATATGTAGACAAATATACATATATACAAAGTTATTCAATTTGAGTAGTGTTAACAGAGAAATTAAAAAGAATAGAAATGGAATGAGCAGCATTTCAAGGACTTATTAGGAAGCCTTCCCAGGTTGAGGTGAATTATAAGATGGTGAGGGGGAATTTCACAAAGTGTTAAGGAAGAATTGCAGTCATCAGGGTGACATGGAGACACTATAAAGATAGCACTACTCATCAAAACACTCTATGTCAGAGGGTTTATGTTATACGTGTTGATGAAAAATGAAAATTGATCTTAGCAAGATATGGGTGAGTAGAAGGAAGTGCAGCTATTTGTTGAAATGTTTATATTTTAGAGTGATTTATCTTGGAAAGACAAAAGATACATTACACTATTAAAAAACACCACTGATAGTATTTGAAAAGGTACAAAGTTTTACATTCATTAAATGTTTTATTCAGTTCTTTCTATCAATATGTATATATGCACACACACATTTGATTTGAAGGTAAAACTCATGAATTGAGTAATAGTTAACATTAACCAAAGGTAATGCTCACATAAAACTAAACATCAGAAAAAAAGGGCTTGAATTGTGGAATGATTAATTGACAAGGTTAATTTTGTGGGAGAAAAGCATGAAACCATCATACATTGAGTCAGAAAACTTCTGTTACACATATCCTGGTTTACAGAAATGTATACACATACAGTTGTGTAGATGTGTATTTCCTGAACACCAAATTTAAGTTAATGTTCCTAAGCAAACTTAATATTGTTTCTAATATCAACTAAAACATTAATTAGTTTGAGGTGTTTTTATTAATGAAAGGAATTATTCCCTGTCAATACAGTTGGCTGTGCTCAAATTTGGAAATATGTCACAGAACGCTATTTCTCCAGTGCTGTGGGGAAAGCATTATCAGTCAATACTTTTATGGAATGCCAAAACTCAAGAAGGCACAAAGTCTTTCAAGTAATTATCCTTCTCAATGGGAATGTAATTAATCAACAAATATTTGTTGAATGTGAGTTGAATGAAAGGCGCCATGCCAGGAACTGTGGAGGACAAAGAAGTTACAGTCACAATCAGTTGCTACCTTAAGGTAGTTGGAATCCTATTGGGGAGAGATGACTTAAGGCAAGGAAATCAGTCAATAAGTCAGTTAATAAGAATTTATTAAACAATTACTAAGTGCCAGATACTGTTCTAAGCACTGGGATTACAAATAAAGGCAAAAACTGTCCCTAGGGAACACAATTTTACCTTGGGGGGTGGAGAACAACATAAGAATAAATAGAGATATACAAGCTACATACAGAATAGGTAGAAAGCAACCAGAGAAGGGGAAGGTACCAACATATGAAAAGTAGAGAGACAGAAAAGCCTGCTGTAAAAAAAAAAGTTGGACTTAAGCTAGGTCTTGAAGGAAGATGGGAAGTCAATAAGTGGAGGTAGGGAAACAGTACATTCCAGGAGAAAGCACAGAGACAGGATATGGAGAATCATGTGTGATTAACAGGAAATATGCCAGTGTAGCAGGATTACAGAGTATGTGGAGGGGAAGATAGTGGTAAAGTGTAAGAAGACAGGAAACATAGGAAGGTTCAGTTTACAAAGAGCTTTAAATATCTGAAAAAGAAGTGTATTTTTGCTCTTGGCAGTAATAGGGAGCCACTGGAACTCAGTGACCATAGGCATAGGATGACATTATTAGACATACATTTTTAGGCCTAATTTTTTTTATTCTGAGCTTAAGAAAGAAAATAGGCATTTCTATAACAAAGTGGAATGGGGGAAAAGGATTATACACACTAGAAATCTGTCATATAAAACTCGCTTTTCTTTTTAAAGATATATTAAGGTTATCATGTAACTTTCTTTTTTACTTTTTCCCTCCCTCCACCCCCTACCCTAGAGATGGCTACAATTAGATGCAAATATGTCTATATCTATATATGTTAAACCAGACATACACTTGAAAAATCCCCTTGGCAGCTTGATGGAAGATAAATTACAATGGACAGGAAGTTGAGACAGTGAATCCAGTTAGAAGACTATTGCAATATTTCAGGAAAGAGATAATCCATGCTTGAGACAGTATTGGAGCTATGTGAGTGGAAAGAAAGGACATTTATGAAAGATACAGAAAAGGTTGAAAAGACAAGATTCAGAAATGGATTAGAAATGTGGACTGAGTGAGGAGTCAGGGATGACAAAGAAGTCACAAGTCTGGGCAACTGGGAGATGGTGGTCTTCTCTTACAGTAAATGGGAAGTTGGAAAATGAGAAATGTTTTGAGGAAAAGAGAATAACTTATTTTTTGGACATGTTGAGTTTGAGATGACTACAAGCTACTCAGTTCAAGATGCAATAGAGGTAGTTAATGACACATAACTATAGTTCACAGGAGAGATAGGGGTTAGATAAATAGACCTTGAAATCATCTGCAGAAAAATGATAACTGAAGTCATGAGAGTTGATGAGATGATAAAGCAATATTACTATAGAATAAAAAGAGAAGAGGAACCAGGCCAGAGCCCTGGAAGAACATCTTTCATTAGTGTGCATGATGTGGATGAAGAATCTGCAAAGGAGACTGAGGAGTGTTGGGACAAATTTGAGAAGAACCAAGAGAACAAAATTATAAAAGCCCAGAGAGGAAGGAGTTTTCAGAAGGAGGAGAAAGTGATAAAATCATTAAATACTTCAGATAGGTCAAGAAGGATGAGAGTTGAGAAAATGCCATTAAATCTATCAATTAAGAGAATTCCAGTAACCTCAGAAAGATCCTATCAATGGAAGGATGAAGTTAAAAGCCAGAATTAAGAGGATGTAGAAGTGAGAGGGAAGAAATTGAGACATTAAATCTAGACAGTGAAAGGTAGGTGGCAGAGTAGATAGTGGGCTGGGCCTGGAGTCTGGAAGGCCTGAGTTCAAATCTGACCTCACTTATTTACTAAGCTGTGTGACCCTGAGTAAGTCACTTAACCCTGTTTGTCTATGTTTCCTCATTGGTAAAATGAGCTGGAGAAGGAAATGGCAAACCACTGAGGTATCTTTGCCAAGAAAACCCCAAAAAGAGGTCATGGAGAGTCAGATATGACTGGAAAAATTACTGAACAACGACAAAAAGTTTAGACAATTCTCTCATAAGTACCAAATGACTGATACTTCATATCTTTCCCAGTCCCAGAACCAAATGTTCTACACACAGTAAGCAAGTGATAAATATATCTTGTTCTTACAGACAATATAGGTGACAGAAATTCAGGTGAAGGACAGACCAATATTTGCTAGCATAACCAGGGATATTTTCTTGGAAGAGAGTGGCATTTGAGCTGAACTATGAAGAAAAGATAGGATTTAGAAAAGGAGAGCAGATAGCTGATAATGTTAGAGAAGAAAAGAAGATCTAGGGCAGAAGCAAAGAGCCAGGAATCTGTAAGAAATATTTGAATATAGTGAGCTGGCTTATTTGGAGGAGCAGTTGGTCATAAATTTAGAAAGATAGTTCAAGAACTATTTATGTCAGTCTTTGGAGGCCAGGTTCAGGAGTTTAGGATTTATCTTGAAGATTGAGAGGAACTGCTAAAAGCTTTAGAGCATGGAAAAAAATAATTAAGCAGTATTTTAGGAAGAGTAACATCTTGGAAAAGAAAAACTAGAGACAACATCAGTAAGCAGCATATTACAAAACTCAAAAGCATGAAGTTAATGCTGAATTAATGTGGAGGCAATGGGAATGGAAAGAAGTAGAGGTGAGATGGCTTATGAAGGAGGAATTAAGAGAATTATTTTATTATTAAAATTTTAAAATAATGCCTTAAACTGAATTCTGGAGTGGTAGAGCCAATAAGAGGTCAGGGTGAAACAACTGTCCAGCCAAAGACAACTTGGGAGGTTGACAGGAGAGGTCTGTGACACCAGGGTGGAGA